CAATAAATCCTGAGGGGTTTGTTGTTTTGGGTTGTTGTTGTTGTTTTTCCAGCCTCTGTTTTAGGGGATCTGATTTTTCTGCAGCTCAGAGCCTGTTGCTCTCTTAGTGCCTTGATAAATGGTGCCATTGTTTGTGTGCAGCGGATGTTTTCCCAACGTGCTGGTGGGAAGGGAAGGGTTAAAGGTTGAGCATTGTTTCCAGGGAAGCCTGGTCCTGTGTGGGATGGGGATGGGGATGGGATCAGCATCCCTGCATGTTAATGCGTGGGGCTCTGCTGCCTTTTATCTGCTTTAATCTCCTTGCTGTGGTTGTGACCTGATTCCTCTCCCATAAACCAATAAACGTGAAGAGTGAAAAGGAGCAGAAAGCACAGAAATCCCCAAATCAAAAACAAAAAAAAAAAGGCTGGCCTAAAAAATGCTCTTTCAGATGGGGGATCAGTTTCCAGACCTTCCTGTGACACTGCAAAGATGAGGAGCAAAGCCCCCCCCACTCCCCAGCCCCCTCCCAAACCCCTTCACCTAAAGGTTTGATCCTTTTCTGGCTGGTGATCCTGGTTCCCAGATCAGCCTGGAAGTCAGCAGTGAGAGGGTGTTTTAATAAGATTTTGGTGGCTGTCCCCAGTGTCCCCAGGGGGAGCAGGGTGGCAGCATGTCACCTCTCATGTCTGCTCTCCTCCCTCCTCACACCCCTTTTCTTGAAGGTACTAAATGAACTAAAATGAAGCCAAAAGGAGGAATGAACCAACACTAAAGGAAAAGCTGAAAATGGGGTTGTTTGGGAGAAATTCAAGCTGGGACATGACTATGTGGTGTGTATGTTATGTCAGTGAGGGTGCTGAGGAAGAGGAGGGTGTTTCTGTCGTATGCCAGGCCTGGAAAGTCCCATTTCACCCCACAAATGAGCTGGCACTGCTGCTCTCTGGAATTCGAGCGGCCCTGGGCCCTCCTGGGGATTTGGACGTGGCCAAGTCAGGTTCATTGCCATGGATTTAGGCCAGGTCCTCCACGGTCAGCAGGTCCCTGACATCTTTGCTGTGGCTGCATCACACTGCCTGCTGCCACTCTTCCTTCCCTGTATTTCTTCTCTCTTAGTTATTTCCCTTTTTCCTACTTAATACTGATTCATCTTCCTATGCCAAGCATTTTATTTAGGGCTCCTTATTTCTTCTGCAGTTTGACAAGAGAAAATGTCAGCTGGTGCACACCGGGTGATGTTTGGTGAGGTCCTGAGCTTGCACAGGATTAAATAAACTAGTGAAGTGTGCAAATCAGGCCCTAACATGGAAATAGGTGGTTTATTCTAAGATATTAGCAGTGCTTTCCTGGCCTGCAGCCACAGCCAGTGCTTCAGTTTGCTTTGTAAATGCCTTTTTTTTCAGCTCTGCCCAGTGTTGCACAGAGCAAATCCTGAGTCTTGGGGCTGTTACTGGCCTTGTCTGTGTCACTTTGCCACCCCCACAGGAGTGGGTGATATGTCTGGATTTCCGTTGTCTCCTTGGGTTGATTCCTAATGTGTCTTTAAGAGCAGAGAACCCCCCTGGAGCCCCTGCCCAAGGCTGGAGCCTCCAAACAGGCAGTTGCCTGTGGAAACCAGTTTTGGCTCCGTGGTCTGGCATCGGTCACGGTCTGAGCTATCTGCTGGAGAGGGGGTCTCTCTGGAGATGGTACCAGCTTTTCCACATGCACAGAAAATTAGTGAGGGGTGAAAAACAACAGCAGCAAAAAAAAGTAATCTGATGTGAAAAATGACAGGAGATTTCTTTTGTTTGATACCTTCAGGGTTTTGTAAGGCTCCCGTGGTGGGTAGAAATACCCTTTTCATCAAAGCAAAGGCAGCTTCCCGTGGCAGAATGTAACCCCAGGAGACTTGGAGAAAACCTCAGATGCCACGAAAGCCACTGTGGAGCGTTGGCAGAGTGGGAGAGCTGCTGGCCTGGGCCCTCACTGGCACCTGCCGTGCTGGAGGGATGCTCCTGCATCCCCAACCACTCCCAAGAAAATAAAATCAAGCCTGCAGGGTGGAGAGCTGGGGCTGGAGGCCTTCTTCTTTAGACAGGGATCAAAAACAAAAGCACTGCAAAATAGGTGGGAAGCACCTGGTGTGCTAAAGCTGAGGGAAGGATCATCAGGGGGAGGACATGGTCCAGCTCATCCCTCGACTTGCAGGGGCTCTTTGTAGAGTCCCTTGTACCAGTGCTCTGTGCTGGAAGGATGCTGTGTTGGGAAGGGGCTCTGCAGGAGGGATTGATTCCCACCTTACAGTGAAATAAATGAATGAAATAAATATAATCAGGTAATTAGGGCAACTTGAGATTTTGACCAATCTGGAAGTCACCTCCTTCCCCTGGTCCGGGGGTCCTGTCTGGCAGGGAGGGTGCTCCAAGTGCTTCCCTTGAACTCCCCTGGGAATTGAGGGGGTTTGTCTGCTACCTCAGTAACTGGTGGCGTGTGGGGGCTGATTCCCAACAGGAAGAGGGGCTGCATTCCTCCCCCGATGGAGCATTTCTCCCCCAAGAGCCTTGAGGGGTTTCTTTTCATTGCCCAAGCATGACGTATGCACAGTCAAGTTAAATTTAGCTGCTTCCTGGCCCCTAAGCAACCAGCAAGTGCTTAAATCCCACAAAACTTGATGTGTCCTATTTCCTCTCCTCACTGACAGCCCATCCCAGCACTGCTTCCCCAGCCAGCACCTTCCCTGCAGTGCTGGCTCTGTGGCCGTGTGCTCCCATCCCAGGGGCACCCCAGTTGCTCCAGATTCACCCATCCTAAGCTTTCCCTTCATCCTATAAAAAGGAAGAAACAGGCTGTGCATCCCCACACACACCAGCATCACGGTGGCTGCTGGGACCACGTTGGTTTCCTCCTGGTGCCATCTGAGGTGCAAGGAGCCCTTGATGAGTGATGCCCATGTAGCTTGGACCTGCCAGCCTAGACCCACCCACCTGTGCTTTTTCGTTTGTTGATGTGTTAAGGAACAGATGAAGGGTGATTGTGTAGCCACTGGGTGGGTGGGTGAGGTTGGAAGCAGAGGCTGGTTGCTTGTGGTGGGTGTTTGTGGGGCAGGTGGGTGCAGGCAGCAGTGCTGCCCATCTGCCCTCTTGACATCCCTTGGGAAAAGGGCTGAACACCAAAAAGTTTGGTCCTTACCCTGAGGGAACCACAACATTTCATTTGTTTTTGTGGTTTTGCTACCCAGAGTTTAAGCTGGTCTTTTCTCTGCTGGTAAGATGTCCCTCCCAGGAGTGCAGGGTTGGGTCTGGTCCTGGCCACCAGGGAAGGCACCCAGATGTGCCTCCAGGGTGCAGGGTCCTCCAGCCATGCTTCTTGGACCAAGTTTGGTTTTCTCCTGCTGCCTTGGATGAGGCAGCTGGTGGAAGCAGAGCTTTCCCTGGAGACCAAGACCGGCTCTATGGGATGTGCTCCATGAGGCTGGTCCTGGAGCATCCCAGCTCAGAGGGCAGGGCAGAGCTGAGCCCCCTGAAACCTGGCCTGGGGGATAAAAGCATTTTAAAAATGTGGGTGAAAAGTGCTAAATATATTTTTGGCAAACTTCCTACCCTTAGGGGGTGACTTTGATGTCAGCTTGCAGAGGGGTGGCTTGAATGTAGTGTGTGTTCATGCAGCATCCCCCCGGGAACAGCAGGATTGGGCTGGGATTCACCACCTGATCCAAGGAGGTGTGGGGACACCCCCTCCCACGGGTGAGGGATTTGTCCCAAAGGGAAGGGGAAGTGTGTGGCATGTGGCAGGTTGCAGGCTCAGTCCCCACCAGTCCACCCAGTCCTCCTGGCCACCACATCCTTCCTCTCTGGGTATGGGATTTATTTGTTTATTTATTTATTTTTCAAATGTATTGTGGCAGGATCCATCCTCACGGCCAGGAGAGGAAGTTCATTTAGCAATGGCAGGAAAGGACACAATGAGTCAGTGGTGGTGGGGAACTAAAAATAATGAAATATCCAGAGAACAACTTTGTGTCGTTCGGGAATTACAGTTATAAAGTCTGGGACAGGAATGGAATTCAACAATCTGTTTGGTTATTACTGTTTGTTGCTGAAGGTTCAGAGTAGAGTGATGCTGTGGTGCTTGATTTTTATGCCAGTAATCTAACTGGAATTTGTATTTTGGGTGAATTTATGGCAGTGTGACATGGATATGTAATTTAAACATGTAAACTTTGTAGGTTTTCAACTTTGTAGGACCAGGAGGTGCAGGGATCCCTGGGCTCTCCTTCCCCAAGTCAGGTGGCAGGGGAAGCCTGGGCACCTTTTTGAGCTCTGTTGGTTAATTCTTAGAAACTTGTGGGCTTGGGTTTGTGGTGGGTTTTTTTCTGAACAAGCTGGTTTAGCCAAGCAGGAGCTCCCTGGGCTCCTTGCAGGTGGTTTTTGTGTAAAGAGCGAGAACAAAATTTGATCTTGTGGCTGCTATTGCTGGGACTGCCCATCCTCTGCAGCCGTGCCAGGGCTGGGCACCACTGCCCTGGCCCTGGGCAGCTCCTCCTGATCTCCAGAATTTCACTGGGATCACTTCCACGCTGAAAACCCTGGGAGAAAAACCCCTTCCTTCCTCCTGCCCCCTCCGGCCGTGACTGCGCCGCCGGGTTTGGGTTTTGACATCAGACACCGGGTTTTTTTCCTGCCCTTGTGGAGCCACCGAGGGCTCTGGGCTATTTTTATCCAGCTCTGGCAGTGGCTGGAGAAAGACACGGCTTCCCTGGCCCTCGCCTCCCTCTCCTCAGCTGCCCGAGATTCCCGTTGACTTTATTAGGGAAAAGCAAGGTGCTTTGGAGCAGGCGGGAAGCGAGAGGGGCCCAGGGAAGCTTCCCAGGCGTTGGGCTGGTGGGTTGCTTGAGGGGGTGTCTTGGCTCTGAGGGTGAGTTCTTGATCCCACGGTGTGGATTGGAGAGTGGAGGAAGGACTTGAGATGCTCCGGCGGGAGCGTGGGAGCGGCCACGTGAGGACCCGGGAGCGAAGGAGATGAGTGGGAAGGGTGATGCCATGGGAGACGTCATCAGGAAAGCAGCCGCGCCGGCCGGGGACGGGAGTTATAAGAAGGTAAGGGACACGAAGGTGGGGTTTGTCTGCCAAGACCAGCCTCTTGGGAAGGGGCAGGACCCGCCACAGGGCTGCCCACCGCCTCCCTGGGGTGCTGCCTTTGGGGTGCTGGGGCAGGGCAGTGTTAAACCATCCTGCCCCCCACCCTGCGTTTCCATATCACTTGATGATAAAGAAAATGTAAAGAGCTGTTTCCAAACACCTCCTCATACCTCGACACCCCTGGGTCTAAAGGCAATTTGCCCCGTGGCTCGAGATGCAGAAGTTTGACTTGGTTTTGCTTTTACTGTCAAATCCCCTGGGAAGGAAAAGGAGATAAAAACAAAGGCTCCGTGGTTCCAATTGCTGTTTGTAAATCCAGTGACAGCCCTTGTGCTTTACAGAGATAAAAGCAGGCGCTGCCCGTGGGGCTGGGACTTTAAATATAGTCGTTGGTAATGACAGACCCTGGCAAAAATAGCCCTGGTGGCCTGGCTGTGTCCCGGTGCTCCCAGCTGGATCTGGGGATGGGCTGTGCACCCAGTTTGGATGGTGCTGGTGGATGGTCCTAGCATCCAGTGTCCCCTGGCCTTGTGGCATTGTGACCCCCCACGTGGTGGTGACACCAGCTGGTCCTGTCGAAGTGTTGCTGGCACCTGGTCATCTGTGATTCAGCGTGTGGTTAAGGTTCTTCCCTCTCCAAACATGAGCAGAGCACACCCGGGAGTCGGTCCGGGCTTGGCACCCATTGGGGCAGCTCCAGAAGAGCTGTCACCAGCCACTATTAGGAGCTCTGCCATGGGTGGAGGGGCTCAGGGCACAGCAAGGGGCCTGGCAGATCTCTGCTGCACCTCAACGCCTAATAAACCTTCCATGTGCAGTTTTAGGTGCTGTTTCAGGATGGGCTTGGCTTGTTTTTCCAGAAAGCTGGAGAAGTCTTGTGGGTGTCTGCTCTCCATCCTGCACTGGGTCAGTCAGTCTCCAACATCTGCAGTAGCCCCGTGTGCCCCCAGGGATGAGGTGGTGTGGCTTAAAACTGGAAGGGGAGTGATTTAAGTTGGACGTTAGGAGGGAATTATTTGCTGTGAGGGTGGTGAGAGCCTGGCCCAGGTTGCCCAGGGAAGCTGTGGCTGCCCCATCCCTGGCAGTGTTGAAGGGCAGGTTGGATGGGGCTTGGAGCAACCTGGGCTGCTGGGAGGTGTCCCTGCCCATGCAGGGGGGTTGGGACTGGATGAGCTTTAATGTCCCTCCCGACCCAAACCGTTTTATGATTCTATGAAATATCCAATATATCAGATAAATTCAGGCTCTCAACCAAAAACGTGGTGTTTTTTGGGGGGCATATCAGGGACGAGTGATGAGGATCAGGAATGTTTGTTTATAATCTGCAGACTCCAGCGAGGTGGCAGTGATAGATTTATAAACAGGAATCATTCCAGCAGGCGACGGGGCTGGGGAGCCAGTGTCTGCAGGGAGAGGCTGGACCTCTGCTGGCACTTTGCCTGCCCTGGGACAGTTGTGTAAAGCCTTTCCCATGGAGGCAGTCCCAGCCATCATCTGACACTGTGTTTTCAGTCGTGTACTTAAACAAAGGTGGCTGCTGACCTTCCGAGCTGGAAGGGCAGTGGTAACAAGGAAAACATCCGCCCCAAACTGTTTTGCTTTAAAAATAAGTTTTAAAAAAGAAAAGACCAACAGCTTTTTGTTCAGGATAATGGTCTGAGCCAGACTTCAGCTCTACACCCACCACCTCGCTCAGAAATATGTACATTTTTTGATTCAGTGTCAAAATAGCACATTTAAATAACATGGGTTTGTTTGCATTTTGAGTATTTGATCTGTTCTTTTTGATCTATCAAGTTGAAAAAATACTTGTCATTCTTCTTAATTTATAGTTTTCAGTACCCAACTCGGGGTGTATAATGCAGCTGTTGGGTAATTTGTCTGAAGTCCAGTTCCCTTAGGTCTGTTATATTTCTGAATAATTGAATAATTTATAATAGCAGCAGATAGGACTCATTTCTTTATGGTCATTAGCTGGTGTCTGGTTTATAAAACGGGGTATTCTGAGCTCAGTCCTGAGAGTTGTGTTATTTAGTGTCCTCCATAATGACCTGGTGGAGAAACCAAATTGCACGTTGATTAAATGTACAGATGCCAAACTGGGAGCAGCTGCTGCCTGGGTGGGAAAGGGAGCAACATTTAAAAAGGAGTGACAAAAAAATGTGGAGAGGCAGCCCCATCTGAGAGGGTTTCTGCTGGAACACAAGGAAAATCAGGAGTAGGTGGGAAGATGTGGGAGAGGATCATCTAAGTTGGGAGAAGGAGGAGGAGAAGTATCCATGACTTTGTGGAACACTGAGGCTCTGAGGGATGCAGTCTGGGTAGAACTTGGGAAACTTGATATTTTAAGTATTTTAAATGAAAGGAGTCAGGTTACCCATGGAGTGTGTATTTTGTTAAGGGATTGACAGCATAATGGGCAGTGTGATCATGCAGTGTGTGTAATCAGCACTGGGGCTGGAATTAAATTGAAGTTAATCATTTGCATTTTGTTAAATCTCACTTCCTTGTGTCAGAAAAAAAAAAAAAGGTGCTTTATTTTTGGTTAGACAGGTGAAATATGGGAAGCACAGTTACAGTCATTAACACAGTGGAGCAGTGTGCTTGCCTGCTGTGTTTTCCTTTGTTATGCATCCTTGATAGGCTGTTATGTGTTATTTTAAAATGAAATGTTTGAGGGCTTCAGAATGTTCCTTCTATCAATAACTTGCTGCCTTGTATGAGTTTGTTGTCAGCATTGGCACAGAATCCATTCGTGACAGACACCAAGTGCTAAATTTGGATCTAGATCTGTGATTTTCATTTATTGCACATGGATCACACTCATCTCCATCATCATTGATCGGGGATTAATTCCAAATCATGTTATAGCTTGTCCTTATTCAAAAAACCATATATATATATATATATATATATAAAGTATGTCTTTGAAACTGGATCATCTTGTGGTGATGGTTAAAAATACATACTTAGGTACTTTGGCAGAAGGTTTGTGTGGTTCTGGAGGCTTCTTTGGGATGTGGAAGGTGCTCACGATGCTCTTGGTGGCTGTATGTGGATACAGGTACAGCTATTAGTGTCTTTATTAGGGACGTATCAGGTGTCTGCACCAGATGTGTGTGGATATAGACAGATATCTATCCATATGTGGAGTGAGAGATGCAGCTCTGTTTTCCTGTTGGGATGGGCTGTGTGACCCACCCAAGCTTGGGGGATGTTGGACATCATGAGCGTGGCCGTGGGGCTGATGGGACAGCTCTCCTACTGCTCCCTGCAGTGACTGGCAGCTTCATCCTCTCTTGTCATCCTTCCCTTGCAGGCCCAGAAGAATGAGCGTGAGTCCATCAGGCAGAAGTTGGCTCTGGGCAGTTTCTTTGACGATGGCCCTGGACTTTACACCAGCTGCAGCAAGAGCGGCAAGCCCAGCCTCTCCTCCCGGTAAGCCAGGTGGCCTCGTGGCCCAGAAGCTCTCTGGAGGCTGAAAAGTGTGAGGTGTCTCCAGTGGGGCATCCCCAGACATGCCCTTCAGAAGATCCCTCAGTTTGTACCTGCAATCATGTTCTTGAATTGTCCTTTTAGAACAACTTGTTAGGCTCCGGAACTCTTTGCTGTGAGGGTGGTGAGACACTGGCCCCAGGTTGCCCAGGGAAGTTGTCTCATATCTGGACAGGCTGGAGCAACCTGGTCTAGTGGGAGGTGTCCCTGCCCGTGACAGGGGAGTTAGAACTAGATGTTCTTAAAGGTCCCTTGTCACCCAAACCAGTCTGTGATTCTGTAAACACAACTGTTGCCCGTTATGTACGTAATTGCAAGTAATATGCTAAAATATTAGGTTAAAACTGTATAGAAGAGAGATGTGGATGGTTGGAGAATACAGCAAATGAGCTTAAGTTTCTTGAGTTAGGTTGCCTTCAGGTTTTCATTTAGGATCTCTGTCCTGAGCCTTTGGATTTGGACAGACCATGATCATGGTAGAAGTATCACACATGCACAGCTGGAGTTATCGTTGTGAAAATAGCTGATACATTTTGTTTCCCAAGGAGTTCTTTATGCTGAGTTGCAGAATATTGAGAAGTTTAGTGTCTCAATGCCTGGTTTCATGCTAGACATGCATGTTTGAAGCAAGGCAGGGCTTGAGGATAGTCCCGTGGTCCTACCAGTCCTGGGTTGAGCTGCGTGGTGATGGTTGGTGAAAAAACAGGTTTTTGTGAAAGCTTTGTGAAAGCTTATTGTCCTTTGGTGGCTGGGGAGGTGGCAGCACCTTGGAAGCAAACCCAGTGCTGATGTCTGGCCCTGGTGCCAGCAGGGCACTGGAGAGCAATTAATCTCATGCACAGAAAGTCCCAAGGAACAGAAAAAACCAAGCTTGAACGTAGCTCCCCGCATCCAGGTGCTCTGCCAAGGCTCTTCTCTCTGGACGTGGCTCCATCCCCTGGGCTGACACGTTGCTGGTACCTCACTGGCTCTGATTGTTAATGTTTTTTTCCACCAAATATACTCCAGAAAGTCTTTTTTCTGTTCAACTGCCAGAGCAACCCGTGGCACTTGGAGAACATGGAACCTCTCCCACCTGGAGAGCAGAGACCTCCCTGTTGCCACCGGGCGGGTGAGGAAAAAAGCCCTAGAGGGGCATAAAGCCAGGAGGAATGCTGTTATGACACCAGAGAGGTATACAATTGTGGAATTAAATCCAACTGCAAGCCATTTGAAAGGGAAAGCAGTTTTGCTGTGTGTAGTCACAGCTCAACCAGGGGCCGCTCTCTCGTAATTAAAGCGCGGGTCCAATTAGGGCTGTGCAGCAGGGCTTGGCACCTGTGCCACGAGAAATTTACCTGCTGTACCTGAATGCTGGGGTGTGCCGGTGACATTTACAGCCCAGGTGAAGCATTGGAACTGCACACTGCATGGTAGAGGTCCTGCAGGAGCCTTGGTGGGGCCAATGTCCTCGAAAGCTGCGTGCGAAGGAAACTGAGCGGCGGGTGCGGGGTTGGGGGGCTTTTTGCACATCCCTTCTGCAGGATGCCATTCAAAGCCCAAGGTGCCTCCTGCTCCTTGGCCTGGGAACCCACAGCTGTCCACCACAGCTTAAAAACTTGGGCAGGATTAATGCAAGAGAGCCATAGAATGGTTGGTGTGGGAAAGGACATTTAAATGCTATCTAGTCCATCCCAACTGGTGAGCGAGTACAACTAGATCAGGTTGCTCCAAGCCCCCTCCAACCTGGCCTTGAAGATTTCCAGGGATGGGGCATCTACCACCTCTCTGGGCAAACTGGGCCAGTGTAGAAACAATTTCAACTATTTGTGTCATCTAGTGTAACAGTGACTGAGAAATTCCACAAAAATAATGGAAAATAAGAGCTTACCATCTGCAAGGACCAACATAAGCCCCCTCCCTGGGAATGAGGAACAGCAGGCAGCAGAACTTGTTGGGTTTGCCCCATCTTCAGCAGGTAGAGGTGGAGTGATGAGAAGGCTGATCATGTAGACCCCCCCTTCCAGCCCAAAGGGTTGGATGATTCTGTTGTGCTATGAAGTTGTATAAAGCTTGCTTATGTGCTTTGTACCTTTAGAACTGGTAGCTTCACACAGGATGTGAATACTACAAATCCTGTTTTATTTAATGTCATGATACTGCCACCAGAAGAGCCCTGCGGTGCCTTGGCAGTTCTGAAGTTCACCAACAGATGGTGGTAGAAGCTTTGTCCTTCCTTGTCACCCAGCTCCCCGTCCCACCCTGAGCTCCTGCTCAGAAGGGGGTCTCGCCCATCCCCTGGTGGTCCTGGCTCGGCTGTTGGGTGGGAGATGTCCATCCTCTTGGGAATGACATCTACCTGAGGCCAAGGCAACATCAGGACAACTTCACCCTTTGGAAAAGCAGCCAAGTTGTGCTGTGCCTTGCTGGTGCAGCCCATGGGTGCTGGGGGCAGTGGCAGCACCAGGGGCTGCAGTGTCACCTCTCCCGTTCCTCCCGCAGGCTGCAAAGTGGGATGAACCTGCAGATCTGCTTTGTGAACGACAGTGGCAGCGACAAGGACAGCGACGCTGATGACAGCAAGACAGAAACCAGCCTGGACACGCCGTTGTCGCCCATGGTAGGTCTGGGAACTCATCCCACAGAGGCTCTGGAGCGTGGAAACCATCAGGCCATCCATGACAGAAGCTGAACAAGAGCTGATCCTGCTAAAGTAGCAATGCTAAACCCCAGAGCAGCACCCTCAGCCAGCCATAAAAGACACATGAGATGCTGAGGGGCAGGTAGCAGATTGCCCCTGGCTGGCCCAGAGCTGCTGTAGAGCAGCTACCTTCACCTGCCTGCCTTCCTGCCTGCCTTCCTGCCTGCCTTCCTTCTTGCCTTCCTTCTTGCCTTCCTTCTTGCCTTCCTT